GCGTTTTAGGGTTTAGGGGTTAGGGCTTTAGGGTTTAGGGTTTGGGGTTTAGGCAGTATGGTATGCAGTTTGAACAGTTTGGCCTTAGCTTTCGCTTGCTTGTTTCGTTTTTTTCCGGGTGTCTGGAGGTTTTTGGTGTTGCGGGGTGTTTTGGAGTTTAGGGGGGTTTAGGGTTCTGGAAGTTCGGGGTTTAAGTTATCTCAGGGTTTAGGGTTTTTGGGGGTTAAGAGTTTTTAAGGGCCTAGGGGTTTCAGGGTTAAGGTTTAGGCTTGAGGGCGCTCTATAGGTCCTAGGTGTTCGTGATTTGGGCGTTGTAAGGTAGTACGGGGCTTTCGAGGTCACGGCTTCAACTTCAGGGCTTTCGGGTTCAGTTCAGAGTCTCGGGTTTTCGGGGCTTCCTTTGAGGGGCTCCCGGGCCCTCAGGGAGTCGCTGAGGCCCTGGTTCCTGGGGCCCAGCGGCCACCCGGAGAACGTGCTCGTGAAGCTGAAGCCCCTTGGGCGGCCTTTACCGGGGAGGGAGGTCTTGGCATGCGTCTAAAGTTTAAGGAGTTCTGAGTTCCACTGCAGTGTCAAAGAAAGTATAGTTACTCTAGTTCAACGAGGCTGCATTGCACGTGCCCTGGATCATGTCAATCTTTCTTCCATAGATTGAACCGAGCCCGAGGTCCGAAACTGAAAGTCCTTGGCACTGTTTTCGTCCACGTCTCCGGAGGGAACATGAGTGATAAAGTGCAGCATGCCTCGAAGAGGTCAGCAGCTGCACAGCACGCACCTCTAAAGCCATGTGGCACGATGTGGGCCAGGATTTGAGGACTTGGCTAAATGATAAAGCAATTGAGTCCGTGTTTAGACAATCTCGTCTTGCAGGCCTCATGGCGGGGCAACAGTTATCCATCCGCATTGAGCGACAAGTCTGTTTCATTTTCAAGAACGTCTTGAATGATATCATGTTCGTGTGCAATCAGTAGACACGTAGGCGGAGAGAGTGCCTTGGGACACTGGCCGTCAGCTGCATCGGTTTCTGTCCCTGGCTTAGTTGACTTGCATGACTCGGGGCCCTACCCACCGGGAGTTGGCTGCACTGTGATCCACTCTCGGAACACCGCTGGCCGGGTGTGAGGGCAACTGAGATGCCGACATATCAACCAAGTAGGTCGCGGGTCCGTCGCGGGACCGCCGCTTGGTTGCCCTTGGTCCGGGTGCAGGACATGACAGCAGCTCGCGGCTAGCGCGCGCACAGCGCCGGGTTAGCGTGCTTGCTGGGGACGGCAGATCATGGCAGGGGAGGCCCATTCATAATTGTGAGACCTGCTTTCTGCGTCTGTATGTGTTGGGTGCTCTTCGTGCTGTATGTTCATCCCTCATCATTGTCAATTGTGTGTCGTTTCGTCTGCGTGTTTGAGTTTCTTCTGCCTGTTGCGTGTGTGCATATTCGTTTGTGAGTTGTGCTTTTTGTGTATTTGATTATTTGTGTTGTTTGTGCATGTGTTGGGTGATGTGTGCCTTGAGTGTGCGTGTGTATAGTGCGTTGTTGCGGTGCTCTCTCGTCTCTGTGTGTGTGTGTGCGTTTGAAGAGTGTTATAGATTGATGTTTGCTTGTGCGCGTGGCTGTTGTTTGGTGTTCGAGCGTTGTGTTTGTGTCGGATGTGCTGTGTCTGTCGTCTATGTATTGTGATCGGTGTTGGTGAGTGTGTGCCTGTCGCTCTTTGTTTCGGCAGCTGTATCAGTCTACGTTGACATATCTGCTTGAATGAAGAGCAGGCAAGCCCAAGCTCGGAGGGATCACTCATCAAAAGTAACAGAACGTAGAGACACCACTACAACACTTAACGTCATATGATGAAGCTGCATAGAGACCGCTATCTCTTTGCTACTACGAGTACTGTTCAGAGGAGGCCACGGGCGGGCACCCATGCGGTTTCTGTCCGTGCTCGGGACTGACGTCTTTGAATGTATGTGCGTTCAGTCTTGACTTGCATGACTCGGGGCCCTACCCACCGGGAGTTGGCTGCACTGTGATCCACTCTCGGAACACCGCTGGCCGGGTGTGAGGGCAACTGAGATGCCGACATATCAACCAAGTAGGTCGCGGCGCGCACCGCGTGGACGGTGCGCGGGACCGCCGCTTGGTTGCCCTTGGTCCGGGTGCAGGACATGACAGTAGCTCGCGGCTAGCGCGCGCACAGCGCCGGGTTATCGTGCTTGCTGGGGACGGCAGATCATGGCAGGGGAGGCCCATTCATAATTGTCAGAGCACTGCCACTTACCGTGTCTGCATCTGTTGGGTGCTGTTTGCGCGGTATGTGTGATATGGCCAAACCTACATGGACAGCACTCGTATAGAGGAGGCTGACATGCCCGGATGCGGAGTACACTGCAAGTGGGAACAGCAGAGCACGACAGGGAGCCGCTGGAACCAGACGCGAGACCTTTGGAGGCCCTCAGCTTGCGTCGTAGCTTGCTGGAGTTAGCTTGGGGGGGGGGATATGTCGGGCACGGTGTGACGGCCGAAGCCATAAGGGCTCGAAAACCCACCATCTTGGGTACAGCAAGCTGGGAGCCAGCTCCATGTCACACGAGCTGTGTTCTGAACTACATCCTCGATCCTTCCGATGAAGCCACGATACCTTAAAGCAATCTCGGGACCGGCGCCACATGTAAAACTCGGTCTGAGCTCTGGCAGCGATGAAGTCAGTGCTGCTACATCTCGTCCCTGCCGCTTGGTGATGCAAGTCTGGCTGACTTTTCGAGGGTTGAGGCTTCGAGCGGTATGGGATCTAACCCTGGCCGTGCGCTAGACCTGAAGCCGTTTTGAGAAACCCCAGCACCCTACAAAAGCGTATTTCAAGGGCGAAGTCCGTCGTGCTTGTGCTTGCAGGTCTCAATGTTAGATTCTGATAGTTTCTGATTAGTACAGCCGGTGATTGGCTGTGCCCAGGTCGCGCTGCCCCCGGCCTTGGCGAACCTCGCGGGGCAGCTGGCCCCCCACCCAGCGTATGTGTCCCCCGACAGTTGTTTGTGGTTGGATCATCCTGACATGTGAGGAGGGCAGCAGATACAGGAGAGCGACCTCTTCCTAGGCGGAGAGTCTCGCAGCTCAGGGCTGCATGCGATCTCGCCACCCCGAATGCACGGCACAAGAACGGCACCCCTGGCCCTTTTTGAGTCGCTTCGGTGTGCTGTTCTGTGCAGACGGCAGGCAGTGAAGCCTTCACGAAGAATGAGTCTGTCGCTCCGCAGCAAGCGGTGTGGCTGATTGTGACCCAAGTCGCAAACCGACCAGCCTGCAGTGTCGTGCCGGTGGAACTGACATTTGCATGTCTCTCAGCAGCGGCCTGCAAAGGAAAATCTTGGCATCATCTACAAGTGGTTGGACGACATCATGCCGTCTAGCTGCCGTTGGGCTGAGTACAGCGACATAAATCCTAGCTAGATCCTAGCAGGGTAGAGCATGTAGGGCACATGCTTACGATTCAATCTTGCAGAGCTTGAACCCTCCTGATGCTGATAGTCTGGAGCTTGGTGCTGTCGGCTTGATACATCCACGCACTTATTGTATTTCCCTTGCTGCCTGCAATGCCAACAGCCAGAGCCCATGTCCTGCCTCTTGGGATCCTTCTGCAAGCTTCTATATCTGAGAAATTGAGAAGGAGGCTTGGGAGGTATGGAGACTACGGGTCCCGAGGTTATTCGTGTGCAAGCCGGGCCCGTCCGCCCCTGCGGGCCCTGTGAGTGCCCCTTGCCGAGGTGGTCTCAGGCCTGGGATTTGCCCGCACAGAGGAAGGTGGCCTATGCGCAGCTGAAGGACTTGGCGGAGGCGGGCCCACCCACTTAGGGTACGGAGTACTGCTGCGTATGGCCTTCCAGAGAGCCCCTTTGTTTGGAAGAGGTGAGCACCCTCGCCTTGCCCTCCTTGGCCTTCGGCGTCGGTCGCGGCCTGAGCCGTAACTCGCAGAGGGTTTTCAGGACTTGTTGGGACATCGACTTTTGCTTTCGCCTCTGCCGAGGCCAGGCCTTGTACTCCTACTTCTGGTTCGAGGACAACGGAGGTAAGATCGACCTGGAGGCGAGGCATGGCCGCCTGGTCTCCGTCAGGCAGAAGCAAAGTCCTTGCAGGCCGCGGATTTGTCCGTGCGCCTCCACGACCTGAGCTGCGCACCGAGTCTCGAAGGAAGGGGGAGGGTCACGGTCACCGCATCGCACCAACTCGAGGCCTGCAACACAGCGGCTGCAGCGACCTGTCCATGGGCGTTGGGACGTTCCTCAGCAAGGCCGGCCGCCGGCTCGCGGCGAGCACGCCATCTCTCGGGCGAGCGCCGCTCAGGTTTGCCACGAGCGGTGGCTTTTCCTGATCATGCTCAGCGCAGAGGCGGCCCGGAAGCTTTCGCATGCGACGCCGAAGAAGGGTCTTGGAAGATCCGCGCCTTACGTCCTCGAGCTTTGTAATGCGGCACACTGCCCGAAGCATGCCTTGATCACTGAGCTAGCAGGTGGGAACCGCCTTTGCAGGGCGACGAAAGGAGCTGAGTGGGTTGTAGCCTTCCGGATGAAGGATAGTGGCACGGCTTCTTTACAGTGCTGCTGGCTTCTAGATGATCCCCCATGGGTTGTAGCACACACCCGAGATACACCACATAACATGTGCAGACACATGTCGAAGCTAGGGTAGGGGGTGAGGAATGTTGAGGAGATGTGGCTGTCACCGCAACTTGTCTCGGGTCATGTTGCTACACACAGACTTTGGCCGACTTCTTAACTTTCGTAGGTGAGAGGATGTGAGAGGTTTCGGGCGTACCCGAACAGGAATGCAGGAGTTGGCCAAGTGATCCAGTGAAGAGTGTCTGAGAGTCTCTGTTGGGGATGGGACCCTGCTGAGAGGTTTGGGAGGTGACAACTGGGTGTGTGTAACTCATATTTTCGGTAATCAGGACTTGGTGCATGCTGCCTCAATGCTGCAGCGTGCAAACCAGCTGTTCCTTGCCTGCAAGGGTAGCTATGGAGGCCGACTGTCAGTTAGCCACCTTTTTCCTTGAGTTGACAGACATCAAGATTCTACTGCACCGAGTATAGCGTCCAATAGCCGGGCGGGTCTGCTGCTGTTGAAATAGCATGCGCCCGCTGGAAGGATGAAGAGGATCAGCAGTTTGCATCGGTGTTCTCTTTGCAGTAAGCTGCTCAGGTTCTCCGACCTCAAAGAGTACCCGTTCTTCAGCTTTCGCAGGTGGCAGGTGCAGAGCAACACATTCTTGCAGGGTTGCATGCCGTGTGAAATGCAGAGATTTTTCGACATTTCGATGTCCTGAGTCGCTCTACGACATCAACACGAACTCCCACGCCGCGCGGCTGAGATTTGGGCGTGTTCTGCAGGCTGGCTTCCCCAATGAAAAAAACCCTTCGAACACTCAGTTCTCAAGATGCGGCATTGCGGCCGAAACCGGGCCCAAACGGGTCGCGGGCCACGGTTGAACCCTTTGATCATGCATGTCCGGGTCATGGAAGGGTGGTGCTTGAGTACCACAGATCGTGCAAAGTTACAGTTGCCGGACCTTGCCTCTTCCTTGTGCATCGGCTTTTCCCAGGTATTCCCCGAGGGCTTCCGCCAGCGGCCGGTATGGCCCACAGCTGCGGCGCCTTGGCTCTGGGAAGCGACCTTTCTTTGCGGGCTTGATGTGGTGTTTGACGACCTTTCCGGGTGCAAGTAAGACTCCAGCTTAGAATTCGGCAATCTGCCCCATCAACTACAAGACGCCCTTAAAGATTTAAGGCGGGATCGTAAACACTCGGGGCTCTAAGCTTCAACCTTCGAAGCCCTGAACATCCTCCTGCCATAGGGACCTGAACGTGTCCCCGTATAGTGCTTATACAGCTGTACCATAGCAGCATATCCCAGAGCCTGCTCTAATCATTAAGGGCCGTATCTGAAACCCTATAGGGCCCCTTATACACTCGATCTTTTACTCGGTTTCCAGCTTGAGGTGCCCATCGCGGTTTGGTTGGAGGAGCCGCTCCTACGCACTCCCAGTGAAGGCCTCCTTCCGAGGCTCTTTCCTGTGCCATTCAGAGTTTGTCAGGATTTGCCGCATAGTCTAAGGGCTCCCCCTATGAGGCATCTGACCATACGAGGTAATACGAGGGCTCCCTCCCGACTTGCTATGAAATTCTGGCCACATAAACGGGGGTTGGTGTTGTGCGTGGGTCCTTCATTTTCTGAAACCCGCGGTGGCGGCGACCCAACCACTCGCTGGGACCGCTAGGTGGCAGCAGGTATGACCATCATGTCGTGTGTACGCAATCGGGGACAGCTTCTATGATGCAACGGACCAAGGAACTACGAGGTCTTCCGGCAAGATCTCGATGCCCGGCTGCCCTCAGCCATGTGCTTTGGAGCCGATCGCACAGCGCGATGCCCGTGCAATGCCCGAAGTCCCTGTCAGGACTTGATCCTCAACCAGAGCAGCTTCGACACGCTCTACTTTATGGGTCACGTCTCCATGACGCAGCTCCGGGCCTGAATCGCCAACGAGCGCCGAAACCCTGGACCCTCTCAGCCCAAAGCCCTGAACCCCAGATCCCAAGCTCGGAACACTAAACCTTCAATCCATATCAGAACACTGGATTTGGGGAGAGAACCTCATCCTTCCGAGGGTTCGGGGCTTCCAGGTTTTCGGGCCGCCGGGAATCCTGGGCGCCACTGAACCTGCCGCAAGGCTTGGATTATGTGAGGGATCTTACCAGGGTCTAGGAAGTGCATAGGGCTAAGGGTTTAGTTTAGGGTTTAGGATGTTTGGGCTTTGACGGTTTTAAAATAGGAGGTTCGGGGTTTTGCGTGCTTGCTGAAACGATGCTGTGGAGCTGTAAGGATCCACAACCGGGAGTTGGCGCCTCATGCGTGCGAGGCCAGTGCCATGAGAGAATGTAGACACCGCGGCTTTGACATGTTTTTCGTAAGATCCCGTATCCCGTAAACCCCAAACTTTCAAGCCCCAAACCCTAAACTATGATAGACAGCGTAGGCATCGTCTTAACAGCGCCTTTCAAGGTTTGAGCCAAAGCGTTTTTTTATATAGCACCCGGTTTCTTTTTTGTCAAATCCGTTGCGGGGCTTCTTTCTGCCTGTGCCAGCAGAAGCCAAGGGACAAAGACGTCTGCGAAAATCTCTCTAATTCCTTTTGAACTTTAGGGTCTGGGGCCAAAACCTGGAAGTTAGAATTCGAACCCCCAAACTCCTGAACATCTCCCGTGGAAATTCTGTTTGCCCTGAGAGGTGGCGCAGAGGAGCTGCAAGCTACTGGCGGAAAGGCCTGAAATCGCCCGCTGCCATGCGAGGCTTGCCCTCGAGGGTTCTTCAAACTGGAGCGCCTTTCTTGGGGGTCTTCATAATGATGACCTTGCGATTTGTGAGATTTGGGTTTTCTTTCATCGACTTTTGAGGCGGCGAGTTGACTGAGACGGCTTAGCCCCCTGGTCCCAGGGACGTGGGTGCAGCCTTTGCCCGGCTTCAGCCCGGCATGGGGATCAAGCCGCCACTTCGCCGATTTTGGAACCGAGCAGAAGCGTTTGGGCTTGCTCTGTGGTCAAGATGCGTTCCTGTTGGATGTTGCGAGGCATCTCTGGAACGCACCCCCGAGGCAGGTGGCGAGCCCCTGCCATGTCCTGGGTGAGCTTCTCTGTCTCTTCTTCAAAAGGGAGCAAAAGGGTGCAAAGTTCTCTCGGCTCCAGGCTGGCGGTCCACCTGGGCCTCATCACTCCTCCAGGCCCGGGCTCCCCCCCCTCCCCCCCGAGTGCGGTCCACGTGAAAGATCGGAGCTCCGCAGGTGCCACCATGGCCGTGGGCTCGGAGGAGCTGCGCTGGGAGGAGGGCAAGGCCATCCCAAAAGCAGAGTGACCTCCGCTTGCGAGCCCATGGGTGGGTAACAGCTATTTTTCTGTGCAGGCCGTGGTGTTCGATGCCCCTTTGCTGAATCAGACCCCTAGAGGTGGCTTCGTGAAGCCTTTCTCTGCTTTGTCTCTGTGTGTGTGTGTGTGTGCCTACCTGCTAGCACTTTCACCTGAAAGCCATGCTCAGAAGTCGTCGGTTTGCCCGTCCCACCAAGGACACATATATCCACAGCGTGAAGCATGAAGGCTACCCGGCAACGACAGCAGCAGTGCCGCTGAATCATTTGAGAGAAGTCGGACTGGCATGCCAGGCACTGAAGACAGATATCTGCTGATTGCTTGGTTCTGCCATCCGTGCGATACGATGCATGCGGAAGTTGCTCCTGAAATCTCTGAAAGCCTGTGCTTGCAGTGAGCATGGGTGGCTTGCATGGCACAAAGATTGCTAGCGTGAAAGCCTCCCTCACAGCAGCGCAAGACGTTAAAAGGCTGCTGTGCGTCAGGACGTGGCGTACCAAATGCCAGCATGGAACATGTCTCCGGCTTGACCAGCGACCAGTTTTCTTTCGGGCACAGACAAATGTCAGGAACGGCCTATTCTGAGTTCCGCGGTGGAGACGCGAACTTCTCGAGCAGGGAAGGGCGGGAAGGTGCGAGCACCGCTTGCAGACTTGCAATTGGGGCGTAAGGCGCGCCTCCGCGCGGCTCCCTTTGCTTGCGGCTGGCCAGGTGCCCGAGAAGGCGGTCCCTTGGTATCCCGAAGTGCCGCCAAACGAAGGCCTTCCCTGCGAAACGGAGAGAGAAACTGGCGAGATGTGGGGCTTTGCACTGCTCTTCGTGCTGGAAGCACCGTCTGGATCCCATCATGCTGCATGCTATCAGTATCTCACCTTGGATCGAGCCCCGGTAAAGACACAGGAGCTAGGCCCAAGACTCGCAAGTTCGAGCCTTGAACCCCCGATCAGTGTTTCCTTCAACCATTAGCAGCTTTGTTTCTTTTTGTTTGCTACCGGTATCACCAAAAATGCTAGATTGTGCTTGTCCTACTGCTTGTTTCCACGAGTATACACCACGTGGTAGGCTTATTCGTGCGTTAATGCCCGCCTGCATTATTTACAATCTTGTGATGTGTGCTTGTGTTAATGCAGAATTATTTGAGTTCTCTGGTCGTTTCATCCTTTTTCGATGGCTCCAAAACGCTTTGAAGGCAGACCTAAACCCTATAGGTCCTGAACCCGTAAACCCTACAAGCCAAAGAGCCTAAACCTGAAATCCCCTAAACGACCTAAGCAAGTGCGACGAAGCAGGCGGCGCCTGGGGCATCCTTGGAGGTCAGCAGCCAGGCGGCCAGGCGCGGACGCAAACTCAGAGATGAGTGAGAGCAGAACCACTTGGGAGTTTCCCAAAAATAAGGGATACCGTAAATTGGGGTCCTTATAATGAGGATCCTACTATTTGGGGTGCTATATTAGGGTCCCCTATTTCGGAAACCCCCATTTGGTTGTGCCAGTGGTATGAGTCAGCAGTTACAGCAGCAGCAACAGCAGCAGCAGCAGTTGTAGCAGTAGAAGCAGAAACGGTAGCAGTGTCAGTTAGCATTTGCAGTAACAGCAGCGGTAGTGGTAGTAGCAGTAGCGGGTTCCTTTCGTCCTCGGCACAGTTGTCAGTGACAGCACGGTGACGGCACGAGGTAGCTTTTGACTGATCTTGTGAAGCCCCTGCACGCCATTCTCGCATGTACTCTGAGTTTTATGTCAGACAAGCAGTGAATCTGACAGTGGACCGAGGCAAGCGGGGTCGTACACCAGCGCCACTCCCACTTCCACTGCAACCGCCACTGTTACTACCAGAGCCACTACCACTACCACTACCGTGGCTACGACGACGACGACGACTACTTCTTCCACTACTCATACTGTTTCTCTGTTACCGCGCCGCCACCATGACAGCTGCTCCGATTACTTTAGTCCTGATGATGGCAATACATAAGTCAGAGATATTGACCATGGTACTGTCAGTGGTCAGAATGGTGATAAGGGATAGTTGGTGGTCGATGCGATTATAGTTCCGGCTGCCGTGGTCCGACATGGCCAAGACAAGCGAGGAGCTGAGGGCTGAGATCGAATCCACGAATGCGCAGCTGCAAGCGGCACACGCTGCGAGGACACAGCTCCAGGCCGAGATTGCTCAGGCGGTAGAGCGGCAGAGGCTGCGGCAAGAGCTCGAGGAACAGCAGCTGGAATTGTCCGTCGCCAGGAGCACGAACCGCCAGATGAGAGGAGAGCGAGACGATATCGACGCAGACAGGAGGGATTGCAACGATTTGTCCACATGTCCTGCTGCCGCCGCTTGCAGCGGGAAGACCGGCATCAACCGTGCACGCTGCACCGGTGTCGGCCCGCGGATCGCAAAGGGCGAGTACGTGTGGGAACTCCAGCAGATGTCTTGGCTCGACGTTACGCTTCAATTTCGCCCAGAAGCACTTCGTCGCATCAGCTCTCACAGTTTCGAAGTTGGTGGGTGCAGCTTCGATTTTCTATACCGCCCTGACAGAGGAGGGCTTCTCCTGACCACCAACAAGAACGGCTCGCTTGCCATAAGGGTGGACTCAGAACAAGACATCGCGTTTCGCTACAGCATCTACATCAAAAGGAGGGGTGGCGACTTCGTCCAGTGGGGTGAGACGACGGATGCGAGGCATCATGGCAGTGATGACCCTTCTTTCACGGTCCATGGTCCTGACGTCCACCTCCGAGACTCGCCAAACGCTGCAGTGGGAATCTTCGGTCTCACCCACAGTCAGCTCCTGCGATCGGAGTGGGTGGAGGATGATACTTTGACCGTGAAGTTCGTGTTAGAAGTGCGGCCTGATGTATCTTATCGAATGCAGCAGTCTGTCACGCAGATGCCAGCAGTGGAGATTCCCGAAGCCACCATGATTCGGGACACGCAAGCCCTTTTTGAGGAAGGCACTTGCAGTGATGTTCAGTTCCGAGTACAGGGTGAAACTATCCAGGCGCACTCGCAGGTTCTTTCTGCGAGATCGGAGGTTTTCAGGAAGCAGCTCTCGGCCGGCATGCAGGAATCCGTGACCAGAGTGATCAACATCGAGGACTGCGAGGTGAGCACTTTCAAGGCCTTCCTGCGGTTTCTCTACACCGACCTGCTGCCCAGCACTGAGCCTGTCGAGCCTGGAGCCAAGACAGAGGACGACACCGGCGCTCAGATGCTGGCCTTGCTGGCCGTGAGTCACAAGTACCAGGCGACAAGGCTGCAGCTTTGGTGTGAAGCCCAGCTCTGCAACCAGCTCTGCACCTCGGAGGTTTGCGACATTCTCTGCCAGGCTCATGTCTTCGAGGCGAAGCAGCTGGAGAAAGCCTGCTACACTTACATCAAGGACCACATGGTCGAGGTGCTAAAGCTTCCCGCCTATGCCGAACTCGTGACCAAGCGGCCGGACATCGGGATGAAGGTCAGCCTTTTCATGGGTGATGTTCCGGAGACCGACGCGGAGGAGATACTGCAGGCTTCTAAGGTGCGGAGGCTGCAAGCCGGGAAGCAGCGGATGTAGCCTTTGCTGCTCAGAATTCCGCGTCCGAGTCAACGAACAGAGCAGATGTGTGAAGGATTCACTGCAAGCTCCGAAGACTTTGCGTGCCTTCAGCCCTGCTTCGTCTCCGAAATTCATCGTGCACCATTCAGCGCGGTCTCGCAAGTCTTGCAAGAGCCTCGACCTGATCCGCAAGCCGGGAAAGGGAGTGCCAAAGCCCTTCAGGCCACCTTGCGTTCCGGCATGGCTGTCGGGCCTACAACCCCTCAGCCTTTTAGCAATAATGCCCGGCATGACGTCACTTCCGCACTAGTCACAGAATTCTCATGTCCAGGAACCCCTGCCTGCAGACTGCTTCCCGGCACTCGAAGCTCGGAGCTTGAGGCGCTGCGCTGCACTGGGAGAGAGCTGAGGAGAGCTGAGGGCTAACGTAGGGATTTAGGGACCTGGGGCACAGGGCGACCGGTGAGGCATGCCATCGCCTACTCGAACATCGACGGCCAAGAGCAAGTGCACGAGACCAAGGCCCTGGCGTCGAAGCGGGAGATCTTTATCACTAGCATTTTGCAAGTTGCGCGGGCACAGGTGACTTGTTCCGGGGAGGACTGCGAGACCATGTCCAATGATGCATCGGACCTCAGCCTTGATGCTGCAGTGAAGCAAGCAAAGAGAGCTTGTGCGCCGTCACGAGGTCATGCCGCAGATCATCCGGGTGAGAACACCGACCAAGGCAGGGAGGCTTAGTGTCCAAGGTGTAGCTTGACAGGGTTAAACCCTAAACCCTTTTAGGTTTTAGGGTTGGGCCAAGAGGGTTGTGGGGACCTGGGCCCAACGCCAGGCCGCCAAGCCCCGGCTGTGCACAGGCTCCGACTCTGCCCTTTTGCTTCGGTGGCTTTGTGATCTGTGTTTCTACCAACATGGCGTTAATGTCAGAGTGTTGCACAGGGTTAGACTACACCGCATCATACGCTGTTTTTCTGCCACGCTGAATGCAGTTACATCAACTTATGGCAGGTTCTCCGTTCCAGGGCCCTGGCTTGGTCTGGGATGGCTTCGACAATTTGGCGCCACCCGGCAGGACATGGGAAGGGTCATGAGACGTTCTCTAGTACATTTTGAGTTTAGGTTTGTGTTGTTTTTTTACCTGCAAGAGCAAAGCAAGAACGGTTGTGGCTCGTGCACAAGTGCGGCCCGGCCCGTCTGCATGTTCCTGCCAGCTAAGGCACCGTGTTGCCAACTCTGCTTGCCTCTCAGCAACACATCACCAGTCCGCTGAGCATTTTTTAGCGTGGGTAGCAAAGAAGCACGGTCCGCACCCGCACTGCACTGCCCATCCATGAAAAATAATCGAAGAAGCTGAGGCGAGACGGCTCTTTGGCTACACTCCGGCAACGGACGATGTCAGGCAGAGATTCCTTGACGGAGCAATGCCTCGTGAATGTGGGTGACAGCATCTGCTCCCACCTGCTAAATTACAGGCACGATGAAATCGCAATGCCACCAGCAAACCACAAGAGTGAAGGCCTCCTGTTCAGCCGGACACCTTCCATGCCATGCAGCCTGTGACTCCCCAGAATGGATGCCTGAGTCTCAGCAGGCATCATGAAGTCTTACGTCTACTTCAACAACAACGGTCACGAAGAGCCGCCGGCAAAGTCTCTGGAAAGTCCGCCATCTCACTGCGAGCCGTTCCGCCTTGAATGCCAGAAATGAGGATGAAGCAGATCGAGTCGCACTGCAAGGATGGCACCTGCGTCCAGAGGCACCCAGTAACATGAGCAGAAGAGATGAACCGGTGCAAAGCGACGGTGGGAAGAATCCGAAGCCTGCAGGACGAGAACCTTTGCTCCGCATTCCCTGCAGGCGCATGAAGACTTGATGCAAGCTTGAGACGGGGCTAGCAGACTGGTGCCGATGCGATTCCAATTCAGGCAGTCCACCATCCGGTGCCGCAGGCCTGACTGACCCGCGGCTCGGGAAACCTTTGGGTGGAGGGGATTGCATTATATTATATGTTATTTTACTTTATATTATAGTATATTGTACTATATTATGTTGTATCATATTATATTACATTATAATGTATTATATCATATTATACTATATTATATTATGTCATGTTATGTTATATTATATTGTATTATGATATATCATATTATATTATATTCTGTTATATCACATTATATTATATTGTATTGTATATATTTGTATTATATTATATTATGTTATATTATATTATATTATATTATACTATATTATGTTATGTTATGTTATATTGTTTTATATTACAGTATCGTGGCAGTTTTTTCTCACTTTGAAGGCGGCGACGGCCGACCAGCATGTTCACAAGGCTCGCCTCTTTTACCTGGCACGTGATCCGCTGCCTCTGCTTTCTGTCTGCATAACGCTGGCTCGCACCATTTTGGGTCTAAATTGATAGATTCTGTTAGAGCCACGAAAACTGTCAGTGCCGGGGCTTGAATGCACGGTGTGGGAAACAGATCCAAAGCCCTTCAAGACTCTGTCTTCAGCCGGGCCCCAGTTTTGGGAGGTCCATGCAGCTGCCGGGCACTCTCCGCAAGCTCGCGCCGCCCGGCTTTTTTTGAAGGTGCTTCAAAAGGTGCCAGCAAGCCCAAACCCTCTTGAGGACATCCAGCACAGCGCTCACCAGGCAGGGGTGTGTGGAGTCCAGCTCCGACCAGCTCGGCTTGAGACGTCCATTCTCTCAAGGCTACGGGCATGCCCTACGAAGCTTAGAAGCTCAGCTCCCGATTGGACGATCGCGAGCGACCTGGCGTCGAACCGGGCTGCGCCCAGGGGCCATCCCAAGAGAGATGCAGCGCAATGCGCGGACAAAAGAGGGACCTGGACCGGGTGACCGGGCATGGCCACATCTGCAGTGCTTCGAGCCTGGTTTCCGCAAGAAGCCATTTGGCCTTGGCATAAAACCTGACATGCAGTGGAGCACAGACGTTTCTCAAAAGCTTACATCTTTACAGAACCATGTAGCCCTTAGATCTGTCAGCACGCACAGTGGCTGCGCGAATCGAGCCATGGGGGCTGAACTCTCTTCCCCTGGTCCCACCCTGGAGTCAGGCCCAGAAGTCATGAAGATGTGTGTATCGGCTGATACCAATCTAGGGGCCTTAATGATTAGAATAGGTTTTTTGGGGTATGTTATACTACAATTATAATCAGGAACCCCCAGAATCCTGCTCTCACTATTAAGGCCCCTTTGTTAGGGTTCCTTGATGCTCTCGCCCTGGCAGTTCTCGAGGGTGTTGGCCCTGACATGCGCGGAAAGCTCTCCACGCAGCTGGCTCGAAATCTTGATCCTCTCGTCATGCTGCGATGTTTCAGCATGAAGCTCGCTTGTGCCGAGGCATTTAGAATCCATGAGCTCCCGAAACTTGAGGCACTCTAGACAAGTCCCTTGTTCTGAGGAAAGTTCTGGGGTGTTCCAGCTTCGGCACTTCAAACTTGCCGCATGCAGGTTTCGTCATGTTGCGATTTGGCGAGATCCCTTTCTTGGTGGTCGCTCCCACAGCCGGTTCAGCGTGAGCTCTCTCGCTTCTCTGTCTTCTCACCCAAGGGACCATCGATCACCACACCGTTGTGTACGAGTACCTGGACGGCAGACGCTTGATGAGCCTGAAGTCAGAGACCTCAGCTCCGGTACGAGTCTGCTGCGTGCTCTGCCCTAAACCCCTAAACCCTAAACCCTGAAACCCTAAACTGCTATATGCCCCTACGCATCGGCGCATGTCGTGCGCCTCTGAAGGCTGGACTGGGGCCGAGACGGCTTGCATTTCCACGACAGCCCTGAGGCCGGTGCTCAGGAGACAAATCCGGCAAGAGCAGGAGCACATGTTGTCAAGGACCCCTGCCCCAATGGCGACGTCTTGGAGCGAAAGTGGTGTGCCCGCTTGACACCAGTCGAGGCCCAGAACTGAGCGACAAGATCTCTGAAGCCGGCAAGGTACTGAGACACACGTTTGCCACCGAGGTCCTGTTACACTGGGACGATGTCAAGGAGAGAAACTACGAGCTTTCGCGATGGAATTGCCAGCACTTCAGCAGGCAGCTACATGATGCATTTGTCAGCTGTCGACAATTCTCCCTGCCCTTCGGTTCAAGATTAAGATGACTCGGCAGGTATATGTACGACAAGGCAGATGAAGGAGGTGTGGACATGGTAAAACCGAGTTGATTTGCAAAAGTTTCACCCTTCCCGACGCTTTGAGCCTCGCCTGGCAAGAGATCCGAGTCGGGGCATGCCAAACAACTTTGCCCGATGTACTTGTAGTCGGCACCGCGCGAACCTGTGCGTGCGATTCCTCCAGCCCTCTAGAGCTTACGGGTTGGGGTTTTGAGCGTAAGGTTTGCGGGTGTCTGGAGGTTGAGGTATGGTGGAACCCTTGAGCTTAGGCTCTCTCCTCCTGCGATTCTTTGCTCAAGCTGGCCAGTCTTTGGGTATCTCAGCACACGTCAGCGACGCAGAGTCGTGATGGTTAGTGCTACGAGGTTTGCATAAGTCTTGCTTTCAGTTGCTTCATCATGCCTCCACCGCCGATGGCTCCTTCGGAAGGCAGGGAGGGTTCTCATGGATTGCAGGTGCGGAACTGTATCATAGGTTTTATAGCGTCTTTGGGAGTGCAAGAGCTGCATCTCATCGCAAGCAGCTGGAGTATCATGTCGTATTCTTGCATCTGTTAGGCTGATGTGTATATACGGATGCAGGGAAAAACCACGTGTCTGCAAGATGCATGTCTGACTTGCAGTGGGCAGGGGACCAACGCAGTTTCCAGAGGTTCAAGTTGTTTCTTGAATCTTCCTTTGTTGCCTGAAACTGAGTCTCCTCTTCAACGCTGATGTTTCGCATAGTTGGGCACAGGCCGGCCCGATCGTGATCGGCCGATTGAGGCAGCATGGGGGAAGCTGAGGGCTTTCAGGGTAGGGTTCAGGGTTCGAGGGTGGCAGCTTGCTGACACTTGGAGCAGGAGGAATCCCTTAGAAGGTTTGTCGTCTTGCGGCTTTAGACTTCGGAATTTAGAAATTTATGTTTCAGGGCTCGGTGTTGTAAAGACGGTACAGAAAGCCTACGAGGGTTTTTGAAAACCCTCTCCAAGGAGATGTAGAGCAGAGGATCTCGCCCCCGGCAATATTGCGATCGCAAGCAGACCTTTGTGTCCGTTGACGACGGAAGGTATAACAAGCATTGAGCCAGATACCGAGGATGGAAACAGTTGACAAGGGTAGTGCATAGAGATCCCATGAGAAAACGGTCCCATCCTTTCTCTGCGGCATTGGGCTACCTAATCCCGAAATCCTAGATCCCCGAAGCGTTCATATTCCACTGATGTCATAATTCCTCCAGGAGTTCCATTGATCAACAAGCCCTGAACCTTCAAGCCCTTTGAACAGACTTGTGCAACAGCAGGTCATGTTCTTGCCGTGCCGCTTTTTGCTATTCGAGTTCCAGCCACGCCAAGGGTTCATACCCTCACTCGGCTCCATGTCGATCTCGGTTGACGTGCATCTGCTTAGTGGGAGGAGCATATCCTTGGAAACAGATCCGGATGCGCTCGTTCAGGAATTGAGAGCGCGTGCTTGCTGGGCCCTGCGAGTCGGGAAGGGCAGGTTGCTCACTTCGTCTGGCGAGACGTTGGATGGAGCCACAAGTCTTAAAAGAGCCAGGATAGAGGACGGCGATGTGCTGACCCTGCAAGCAGGGCGTATGATCCAGCTTGCATCTACCAAAAAGAATTCAGCCATCACCATCAAGAAGGCTGCTTTTGCTGCAGTCCTGGGCGATTTGTCTGTGGAAACCTGGGGCGATGCTGGCCTTGGTGGCTCCAGCGATTGGGTGCAGGAGCAGCTACAAGACGTTGCGCACATCCAGGCGTCTTACAAGGCGGGGATCCTATGTTTTGTTGGTGCAGTTTTGGGAGTTTTCCGCTGTTGGCATTTTTTGTTCAAGGCGGGGTGGTAGGGGGGACGGGGACGGGGTTCACAAGAAAGAAAGAACGAAAGCAGGAGAGAAACGAGAGAGAAAGACAGAAAGGAGGAGAGAAAGAACAAAAGAAAGGGGACATTGAACGGCAGGGAGAAGTAAAGGGACAGCGATTCAAGAAAGAACGAAAGAACGAAAGAAAGGCGGAGAGAGAAAGACAGACTGAAAGAAATCCAAGAACAAATACAAAAAAGGAGTAAAGACTTAAATAAAAAGCGAACGCGAGCCGCAAGACATAAGGAAGCAACGAAATGAGGAAAGATAGACCGGGAAAAATGCGCCAACAAAATACAGACATAAACAACAAAGACAGAAAGATAGAGAGGACACTAAACCAGCCAAGAAAGTTCGAACAAATAATGTAAGAACGACCGCAAGAAAGACATAAGTAAGTACAACAGCAAAGAAGCAACAGAAGGCGTTAAGTTATATCAGTAACAGATCATATGACGATGAGATAGTACACACAGATGTAGTAGATGTAGCATTATATGACACGTGCAATATATGTACATTACAGCAAAGCCTCATGCGGCTTAACATACACAATCTTGTTGCATAGGGTTAGACTATCACATATTGGGTTGTGGTACCTCATGTTAAACTGTTTTATGTTACAGGTATAGCATAAGTTCATCGTAAGTCACATCATGCAGAGATACATTGGGTTACGTTATAGTACAGCTGAATTTTATGGTAAAGAAACTCATACAGGCTGCATACCGTGTTCAACGTGTCTGTCTGTTGTTTTGCGGCACGTCCTGCATTGGCAGATGTGGCTGAAACCCCCTTATCCCCCGTGATGCTCAACACCATGGCTGCTCCACAGATTGCATACCGAGACGGTTTGCAAATTGTTTGGTTATCCGGATCAGACAGTTAGGCCAGTTCTGCAAGGCGTGATAAGAACACTCCTAATTCCATCAGGAACGATGATGAAGGCAGGAA